GGGATCATGACGAAAAATTAACTGAGTAAATCAGTTTCGATTTCCATTTTTCGGTATACATTAATAATATAATTATATATAAATAATATAATAAATTAATAACACATAATTAAAATATTTTTATAACAAGTAATTGCACAATGAATCGATGTTTCGTTGTAAACGCGCCTGTCAACTGAACGGTCCGTATCGTAATAACAATAATTCAATTCGCAGTGTTACGCGCGTCCATGTGAACCTAGCCTATTTCGATTTGAATTATTGTAATTTTGATATTTATTATTATATCTAGTGTTATTGTTAAAATTATTGCCATTGTTGTTGCCAAAATTATTATAATTATTATCGAAATTTCTACTGTTATTATTAAGGTTCCTATTATTATTATTAAAATTCCTGTAATTATTCCTATTATTATTCCCACTGTACTCATTTTTACCCGAATTCATACTCAGATTCTTCTGAAGGGTTTCTGTCAAAATGTCAAGCTGTTATTGTATTTTTTTATTATCGTCTATTTTCTTGTCTATGCCTAAGCTCGCTATTTTTATAATGTTTTCTTCTAATACCGATAATGAACAAACGTCAATCCAACCCACTCTTTCGAAATATTGGTCGGGCAAACCATTTAAAATTGTGTCTATTATTTCACTTTCTGACATATCCTCGTTTGCTCTCCTGCATTTGGCTTTGACATTAGAAAAGTAATCTAAAATGCTTTCATGGTCCTCTTTTTTCCTCTCTCACAATTTCTTAAGTCTCATTCTTCTCTGGGCTTCTGAATTGTAATATCTAATCAGCACATTTTTCATTGCCTGCCAAGTAGGCACGTCCACTTCTGCCTCTTTATTTTCAAACTCTGTCTGTGCCTGGCCTTTTAGAGAAAGTAGTAACATATCGAGTTTAATATTATCATCCCAACAGTTAGCTTTCGCAACCCGTTCGAAATTTGAAAAAAATCTAATAATATCCTCCGATAATTTACCCGAGAACTGTTATGGTAGAATTGAGCTAGCCATAGTAGTTATTAATTTAACTGGTTTATTTTCTAAAAGCAAAACTTTTAGAAAATTCAATAAATATTGAAGTGCGTTTTAAATAATGATTATAGAGAGGCATATAAACGTATATAGAAGATTATGTACTCAAAGAATTAATTTATAGTTATACCTAATTATGCAATTGTTACTATTATAATTAAGTGAGCCAATAATAAATAAAAAAGTTGGATAAGTGAGGGTTGAAAAGTATAAATCGCAGCCACAAAAAAAAGACACAGTAAAATAATATTAATATGAATAAGAAATATCTTCTCACGAGGAAAGAAGACAGTGATGAGATTCTTGATATTTATTGAAATTAATAAATCTAAATGAGGTAAAAATCAAATGATTTGAACACTTTTTCTAACTTAAAAAATATATAAAATATTCACTACCACAGGCGGATTCGAACTTGGTACCCTAACCGTGATAGACACAAGTATTACTTATTCACTTTTTCCAATTCATAAAATTGGCAATTTAAGCTAATTCAAATTTTAAAGTTACTTTTTCGACTTTTAAAAAGCAAAAAAAAATTTTATTATGTTTAACTTTTTATGTCTTATGAACTTTATACTATGTCAATTAAATTATATAATATTCATGAAAGTCAGTGTATTCTCCTTGTAAGATATTTTTAAATAAAATAAAATACAAAACACAGAATTTTAACACAAAAATAGTATATTTTTGAATACAGTAGCCATTTTCACCAAGAAGAAATTCTATATTCTATATTTTAAATTTTTTTTTTTTTTTTTTCATAGATATGTAAGCTTTAATGTATTTATATTTCCGGAACATTTTCAAAAATTACATTGAAAAAGCTTAACTTGTATACAAAAATTGATTTTTGAGTCTAAGACTCAAATGTTACCGATTCAGTATCCGTCGCTTTCGTCGAAAGCTGATTCAAATTTTAAAGTTACTTTTCGACTTTAAAAAAGCAAAAAAATTTAAATAAGTTTAATTTCTTATGTCTTATGAACTTTATTCTATATCAATTAAATTATATAATATTCATGAAAGTAGTTTACTACGAATTTTCATCNATTTAGTTTTAAAGTAAATGCAGCACTACTCACGAAATACATATCAATGTAGATAAGACTCGATATTGAAAGTTTTTTTTTTCAATAAAATAACACTTAAAATAATAATTATTTTAAATTAAGAATCAATTTAAACTTTATAAAATTATATCTCATAAATATTTAATAGCTATTTTGCGTTTAGTATAAAATTAAATAAACCCAGCACAAGGGGGTCGCGGCACAGTGGTGACGTGGCATAGTTGGATCAAGTATAATGATATCTGAAAGTGATTAAAATCACTATAAAAAAAGACGCTTCGATGCAAATCTTTAGACATTGTTTAATTTTTAAAAATTGGTGGATTATTCCAAAAGCTACATGATCTGCTAGTTCCTTATTAATATCCTGATTAAGATAAAGTATGTACTTTATTTGAGTCTCTTAAAAGACTTGGCACCAGTTAACTTAAAATAAAAATTTTTGTTTTTAAAATCTAATTTTATTTAAAAAAATTATTAACCCCTTATTTATCTAATTTATCTAATTTATAATTATATTCTTCTTTATATATAAAAAAAAGAAAAAAATTATTTTAAGGGTGCCATAAGGGGTTTGTCCACTTTATTCTAGGGAGCAAATTTAAATAAGTTTTTTTAATAACTAACAAGTTGATCAATTTGAGACATGGTATAGTTTAGTAGATCATGGACCTAAACATTGATGTTCATATGCTCTATTAATTTCCGGATGCATGTCTATACGGGAATTTCAATAGTGATACTCACCTTTACCCTCATACTGGCTTCATCTGCCATATTGAGGTTGTGTCAAATCGAAAGCCGGAGAAAAGTCCTTTTTTTTTTTTTTTTTTTT